TACGTACTTACTTACTTACTTACTTGCTTGCTTGCTTGCTTGCTTGCTTGCTTGCTTGCTTACTTACTTACTTACTTACTTACTTACTTACTTACTTACTTACTTACTTACTTACATCCATGCATGCATGCATACATGCATTTCTGTCTGTCTGTCTGTCTGTCTGTCTGTATGTATGTATGTATGTATGTATGTATAAGTGTCTCGGCCCGAAACACGAGCCACAGCACTCACCGTATATGCTGCGTCCCCTACCATGGTGCGCTCTCTGGCTTCTTCTTCCTCACCGGACAGTGACGCTCGTATGTCAAGCTCCAGCGCCGAGTCCTCAGCGGCCAGTGCCAGATCTGCCGAGGCTGAAGACAGGAGACAACGAGCTGCGCAAGCCCAGGAGGAGCGAAGACGTGCAAACGCACGCCACTGGTACCAAAGACGTCTTGGGGAGATCAGATGCTCCATGGCCCTGGAAGGCCAGCTCAGGAGCGCGAACCGCACCTCACGACAGATCTCCGGCCGCACCAGCTGGTTTCGACGCCAATGCCACGGCCAAACCCTGGACGAGATCCTCCAGCTCACGATGCCGCAGCTGGAAGCCACACGCGGTGCAGCTCTGGAACATGACATTCAGTTGCTGCGGACGCTCTTCACAGTTCCTGTGCCAGACAATGACAAGACCTGGATCTACTCTGATCAGGTGGGAAACATGTCCGACCCGAGCCGCCAACTGGTGGAGCAGCACATGCAGCTGCTGCTGCTCCGGCACTTGGGGCCCCAGCTGGAAGCAGAGGACACCACGGACTTCCTCCACAGAGCCGTTATGGTGGCGGGAGGCAACCTGTATCGGGACTTTATCCTTCTCGTCTGGCACCTGCTCCCGAATGATGCCCGGCTGGAATTCCAGCTTTGGTACCAGGGCAGGCCGCCCCGGGATCAGGCAGCAGCCGAGCCTCACATGCCTGACGACGTGCCCGAACCTGCTTCCTCCAGCGGTCTTCGACGTGACGGCTGACCCAGGACGGGACTCGACTCTGAAAGAGTGTGCGCAGTTTCTTTTCAACAGAGCAGGTGATCATCACATAGTGGGCCGCCCCGGTCCCAAAGCCGGGGGCGACAGGGCAACAACCGAGCGTGTACAGATTTTCTGTTGTACTTGCCCTGCCGCAGACACGAGGGTTGGGGATTACCTAGGTCGAGGCACCCCTGAAGCCCATATTACTGACTTCTCAATTTCCCATGGTACGGCGAAGTCACACGACCCTGATAATGTTATGGTGTTGGCTCATAGTCAAGCTATTAGCCCCCGTGCAGCGCCACACGACATCACGCACCACGACATGTACTATCATGATAGAGTGCCTAATCCTCACACAGGAGTGCTCTGCCCGAGACGGCCACAGTGCTCAGCAAGTCGCTCTGCTCGGCTGACTTTCAGCCCAGGAACGCTCCTATGCATTTTGATTGCACTGGGTCTGCTCCCACTGGTCATCCCCACAGGTAGGAACCCTCCACGACCCTGGTCTCCCACCCGCCAATGCCCAGGACAATATCGGCGCAGACCCGGCCTGATACGTCTGCCATGCAAGCCAGGGGACCTGCTGTGCAAACCCTTAAGATCCTATACCAACCCACCAGAGGCTAGTGCTTTGCCCTGTCGCCCTAAGTCCCCGCTAAGAACCCAAACTGCCTCTCTGGCCCTAAGCTACCCTACGCCCTCGACCCTCCTGCGCTTGGCCATCTTTGGTTCCCTAGTGCGTCAAAGTGTTGGACACCCCCAGACAAGCTGG